TCCTGACTTCACTGGAACGGATCCGGGCTTCAGATGCACCTTCAACGGCTCCACCTTGACCGGAGGATCCCGACCGAACTTCAAACGGAATACGTCCTTGAACTCCACCAGTACGTCTTGTAAGCGCCGTACGGACACTTCATCCATGCCCTGGGAAGCGGCGTCAGCAACTTTGCTCATCAGCACCGTACTGACCGGATGGTCGTCGACTTGCCCGTCTGTGGGGTACGGGTCCGTACCCCAGTCTGGAGTCGCGCAGCACATCCCTTCGTCGTCGTCGATGTCGTCCACCAACGTCTCTTCCATACGGAGGGTTCGATGCATCGCCTCACCGGGCGTCGCGATCGACTGGTCGGCAAAGTTCCATTCCGCTTGCTGACGATGCGCGTTCTCGAGCAACGTCTTGTCGCTGTAACCCAGCTTCTGCATGACCGGCAGGCCTAAGGTCAGTTCCACGCCCGCCACAGCTTCGTCGACCCATACGCGCAACCCGCGCAACATCTAGGGTCCACATCCGGTCTTGAATTCCAAACTTCCGAAACGGACTTTCTTGGTCACGACGACTGGTCGACTGTCCGCTCCGTACGGCCGTAGGGAAAACGGTCCCATGGTTGTGATCTCTGGCGCAGCACCCGCTGCCAGTAAGGCCGACACGAGACCACCAGATGGCACCGACAAGTCAGCTCCGGAGTCGAGCAACGAAGCATTTACGGTCAACACACCTTCTACCGTAGCCACCAATTTGGCACGTTCCGTATGTACGGGATCCGTTTTCATTGTGGTCATACGGTGTCCATTTGCACGTCCACCGTCCCTTCGTCCACGAGCACCGTCGCTCCGTCCACGGCCGAGGATTCGTCCGTGTGCCATGAGGAGCTTCACTGCTTCCTCTTCGGTGATACCCGGACACTCCCGTACGCGATGGCTCGTAGATTTGCACTTCAGACAGCCATTCGCTGACGTCAGCCCAGGTGGCGCCTGGGGCGTCGTCGCTGTCGCTGGTGCCCGCGGTGTCGACTGAGTCGGAGCCATACGGAGTTGTGTGTACCTCCTTGGTTCGTCTTGGGCAGATCCGGCTTCGCAGCTGGCTTCGTATCTTCTTCGTAACCGACGAACCGTTCGTGCACGATCGCGTACTCCCGCAACCACCGTACGAAACCGGTATACTCCTTCTTCAACGGATTGTTGCGTGTCAACGTCATCTACTCAGTCACGGCACGATGGAGCGACACTGGCTTGACCGCGGCCGTAATGATCTTGACGATCGCTGGGCTTTCTTCCTTGATCACCCATTCCCGACGGTCGCGACGGATGGCGGCTGCCAGTCCATCCAACATATTCCCAATACGTGAGTCGGCATCATGTACGGACATGACAAACACAACAGCCGCCTTGATCCGTTTCTTGAGCGTGTCCAGCGCCCGTGGGTCGACGCCACACCTTGCCGGAACCACGCAACCATTCGGCTTCCGTTACTTCATACGGGTCCTTACCGATATCCCACTCAGCAATACGGTGCTTGCTATCTGGATCGATGCATACATTCACCGACATGACGAACGGTTTAGCCCCACGGTAAGGGCCGTTGTCTGGCTAATGTACAAGTTGTACGCGGCCATAAACGTACGGCGTTCCTCCTTGGTCCCTTGAACGTAGGATGTTTCGGGAGGGCCGGAGCGTTGTACAGATACACGTCCGTCTGGCCCATGTCCACGTCTTCCTTTTCCGTGGCCGGGACATCCGTAGGCGCCATGCTGTCAGGCGCTGGACCGTTCGGCCGTCCGCTCGTGCATGACTCGTCCACTGCCACCGGCTGTTGGCGTCCTTAGGTTGATCGCAACAGTCGCCGCACCGTCTCTTAGCTCCACGGCCTTCCGTGGTCTTGGAAACGGCCATGGAATACAGATCCGGCCATCGGACTTGCGGAGCGATCCGAACGGGATCCGTCTTCGCGTTCTTCATCGTGGTCGCTGCCAGGGAGCTGTTCAGGGCACGGTCGTTCCCAATCGGGGAGTCTTCCATGCGTACAAATACTAGCGTGTCTAAAGACAGCTAAATAATTCTTTGTTGTCTTGCGCCAGTGTTCACAGCCGACGGCTACCGTGTTCACAACGGTGACCTCAATGACAAATCCAAAAGTGAACTACATTATCAATCATGTCTTAGTTCTTCCTCACAACCAATCATCTGCTACAGTCTACCTCAGCCACTGAATAACTTGGTTGCGCAACCATCATGCACATCCCGACACGGATGTTGGTCATCGGCTACACACACTCACGCACGTGTAGTCGACACGAGGCTGACGCCGAGAACAAGACCGCACGTAGCGATTGCTGCAAAACCCAAGCCAGAACCACGCCGACAATGGCTTTGCAGCTGGCTCCGTAGTTGGAGATTTGGCTTGACCAGTGTCCCTGGTGCGTGTTCTGGGCGGGGTTGGCATCGGCATCGTGGTCGGTTTAGGAGTGGCTTCATTCCTTCGTCCACTGGACACGGACCAGATCCTTTAACTACCTCGGTATATCCCTTGTTTTGCAAACGCACCACTAACGTTAATTCCCACGAGCTTTTATACCTGTTGTCGTACAAATTCACTCTATTATTGGGAATTGCAATTATGTGATACCTTTGACCGCAAAGAAGTGGTCGAGTGGATGTTCTGATTCAAAGTACATATAGCATGCAATTGACTCCACACTGACGTAAATGACCAATTTATGATCACTGTACCAATTTATGATCTCTCCGTATCAGCCAATCGCGTCGCAATATTTTTTGGCGGCAAACCTCTCGTAAATTATACGCTCGAGTTTCAAATCCCAAACAAATCCCAATCACAGCTTTGATGGTCAATGACGTACTCCGGAGTACATGCTTGCATCTTAAAATACCTTGTTCACTGTGTCACTTGTCTATCTATTTCGAGTGCCATGGTTTCTTGTCGTTATTGGAAATGCGAGAGTTCAACTACTTCTCTTGAAAGCATAACCTTGAAAAATGATATTTTACCTGTCAACAACACGTACCCTATCCGCACAATTTGTAAGCAAGTTTCCATACATAGTTCAAGCTTAAAAAAGGCATCATAAATTGGTCTCCAAAAAAAGAGTAAACTTGCTTGGAAAGTCTGACTTTTGTACCTGAACTTAAAGGCGATAATAAGATGATGAGGTGAAAGCAACATGTTTCGTTGTCAACACTTTACAGAATGTGAAAATTGTTCCTGACACCGGAGATATGTGAATTCTTCGATGACGCCTTCGGAAAAGTGATCATAAATTGGTCATTTACGTTAAGCAGGTAAGCCCCCTACAACCCCACTCCCCATTCACTGTAAGCTTGAGAAATAGCAACTTCCTATTGACGAAAGATGTACGAGTGTCACTGAAATACTATGTAAAGTGTGCAAATGTTAATATTACACCCGCTGGTCCGTGTGGGCCGTCACGACGCAGGGCGGGATCTTGAGAAACTCGTCGAAGTCGTACTTGACGATCTTAGGGCAGCATGACCAGTGCTTTCCCGCGTCGCGGAACACTGGGGCGCCCACGTGGTGGGGGCACGCGCGCTCGTCGTTGTCGGCCACCACGTACTCCTTTTGGCACCCAAAGTTCACGCACTTGGCCTTGCCGTCGGTGCGCACGACCACTGGCTTGGGTTTCCTGGTCACAACGACGTTAGGAATGGTCAAGCGGGAGGTGAAAGGCGTACGGGACGGCGGTGACGGTGCTCGGGTTCTTCTGGTTATAGTCGTCGATGGATTTGACCATGGGAGCTGGGGCGGGCACGACGAGAACGGGGGCGCCAAATCCCGACCGCTCTTCCTTGGGCGGCGCGATTCCAGTGGTGCTGTGGAACCCCACGGCACATGGCTCGATCAGTTCGAATTGTTCCCAGTCGTACACGAGTTTCTCCGTGCAGCACTGCCATCCCTTCTTCGTGTCGTGGAACGTGGGCGGCTTCGTGTGGTGCTTGCATGCGCTGGCGTGGTTGTCCGCGGGGTTGAACTTGTCGCGACATCCAAAGTTCTTGCACTGTACCAAGTCCTTTGGCGCGGCACGTTCGCGCTCCTCTATCATCGCCATGCGTGAGAAACGAACGTGTCGTTGGAAACGTTATGAGGCGATGCCAGTACCGTCTGCGAGGTCTTTCTTGTGCTTGAACGTCGACGGCCCAATCTTGACGTAAATGTCGTCGCGGTTCTTGATCGTGTCGTGGATGGTCTCGTCGCCGCGGATCACGCGATTCTCCGTCCGTTCCAAATGGTACGCATTTGGATCGACCTTGTTCTCGGGCCTGCGCTCGTTGTACGTTTCCAAGAAGAACTACATGGACGATGCATCGTTCAATCACCATACTATTCATCGTTCGTGTACCTCCTTCAAGCGGTCCACGGTGGCACCAGACCACTTGGACGGAATCGTCAGCTTGAGGGTCAAGTGGTTGGCTTCGTCGCCTTCCTCGAAATGCAGGTAGATCTTCTTCAGCCGTGCGCCTTCCGGCACCACGGGCGTCGACTCGGCTCCGCCCATTTCCTTGTTCGAATTGTGGGGATCGACGGTGCCCACAACAGGATTAGCCAATCAGACGCAGCCAAACCCGGTTTTTCGAACGAATTCCGATCAATCGAACAATCGAGCGATCCATCAGGCATGGACGCATGAAGGGTGACACATCCATCGCCGCAGTGGCTGCATATGGCGGCACCATTCGCTCGCTCCATTGGCATCCACGCGAACACCACACTTGTGCGTCTAATGGTCGGCCCTCGTGTGTGTGCATGCTCGACGCTCGCGACAGCAATCGCTTGGTAGATAACCAGACATTTCCCTTTCGTGGCAATCCAACAGCAACTATTGACGTTTCACAGAGTTGTTGACGATGCAATCTAGTATGCCACAAGTCAAGTGCGAGGGTGTTGCTGACATTGAGCATCGTCCGACGGTGTTGCCATCATGGCTTTGCGATCATTTGACCAATGTTGAGTGGCCCATCCTGTTCTGTGATGTATACATCCATCTCTACCTGAACCTACAGTATATGGCGGGCTGGTCCCGTCGTTGGGTTGTTTGCAGTACTCCAGCCTTAAGACAAGCAACTCTCGGATGTGGATCCGACGATTAGTAGTTGCTAGTTTTGGTTGTTAAATAACGTGGTATTATGATCATTTTCGTTCGATGTGGCTACGATGGTGTTGGGCCAACTGCCGCAGTCGCGCGAGTTCTCGCGTCAGGTGCTGGAGCTTTTGCTGCTGGTGGAATCGCGAGTCCGCGGCAGACTCTCGGTTCGTGCGCTTGCGGTACTCGTCTTTCGACTCGCCTTCCCGCAGCGCGCTCTTGGGTTTCTTCACGGGCGTCCATGGCTTGCTCTGCAGGTGCGGGAACTCGTTCTGCAGTTGGGTGAGTTCATTCAAGATGAACGACACCCGTTTGTCTCGATTCTCGCGGTACGACGCGGCGGAGATGCGATTCTTCGTCTTGTTGCGGTCCATGCTGCAGGTGACGCCTTCGTCAGTGGTGGATCGTGGGACGATCTGGCGTCGCTCGTTGCGGCGGTCAATGGCCAAACGACGTCGTCGGGCGGCCTCCGCCTTGCGGTACTTGAAAGTTGGCTTGAGCATGCTGGTGTTTTCTGTGTACTCGACTTTAACGGGTACGTCGTTGTCGTCGTCGGACGGCGTCGCGAGGGTTCGACGACGACGTAGGTCCGAGTCCGTACTGTCCGTGGGGCTCGATAGCGACTGGGTGAGAGCCTCGGCATCCTCATCCATGTAGTCTTGAGGGAAGTTGGGATGCTCGATCTGAATAGCTACATCAAGGAGGTACTCCAAGCTCATGCTTCTCACGTGTGTGTCTCTGTCTGATGGGGTGCTGCGCCAGGAACGCTCCAACTACACCAGTTCGTTTTATAAACGCCACGGTATTTTTTTTAAGAAAATATATTCTTCCACACTTACAAATTTCAAATGAAAAAGCATTCGTATTGTTTTTATTATATGGGCAAAGTCATTGAAGTAAGCGAGCCAATCAACTCACAGCATCGGGAGTTCGTCGAAGGCCAGCCACGTACTTGGCGGATCCGCATACATTATCCGGCATGGAAGTGCTGCTTCCAGAATGTGCCAGCTCAAGGACAGCTCGGCAATGTGAGATAAAACGACCAACGTCACTCAAGGATCCACTCCGTGTTATGGTCAAGCGAATATGATCATCTCGAAGTGACTCCGCGACTCTTGGCTCCGAAGTCAAGATACATGCAGGAAAAGTGTAGTGCCAAACATGGTTGTGGATCACATGTATCATCACATATCGTCAGGGAACACGACTGGCGATAGGACCCCAAACTTGGCTCGCTGTCGGTTGAGGCGCAGCCTTGACATAAAGTGGTCATGTAGACGCTTTGTGACGTGTGTCATTTCCACGAGGACGTCCAAGGGCTTGCACCAAGGGGTCATAAAGGTGAAATTCCATTGCGAGCATGCCTATAAACGCAACGACCCCCATGATTCCCACGATCGCCAGGACCTTGGACAACAAGCATTCTCGGCCCCCATCAACGTCATCGTTGTCACTGTCATCGTCTGGCTCAAATGTCTATGACAAACCCAGATTACAACCGTCCACATACAAGATTCAGGTGATCTGCTGTACCAATGTCATGGCATCGTCGTCTACTGACGCAAGCATCCAACGGCGCGACGGCATCTCAGAGCAAACAAATCAGATCCTGTAACGGCTACTACACTCGACTAGTAGTACTTACTAAGTCGTACGAAGCAAAACGTTACTCCGGAGTACTATGATTTGCTACGGTACTACTGTAATTGTTCAACTTCAACTTGCATTGGACTTGTCATAAACAGGTTGTACGAACTTGACGGTATACGTATGTATGTCATGGCGACTCTAATTACAAAGTGTCACCGTATCCTGGTATGGTTCTAACTATGAGTAGTACAGTGCAAATCAAAACACAGATACTAGAATGTAGTAGTTGTACTTGGTTCGTTTCTTCAAGTTAACAGTGCCTTTATAGTCTACGAATGTTATCGATTGCTTGCAAGGGGAGGAGTGGTGGGAACAGCGGGCCGCGTCATGCCGCTGAGCTGGGGGAAGTAAGTCCCCAACCAGATCGTCAACGACGAGGCCGCGGCTTAAGGAAGGGTAGGGTGTCTCTGAATGGGGCGATGGTGCTTCGTCCCTGATCAGGTGCGTCGCAGCACATAAGGATGCTGCGCCACTTCTTGCAGGGTGCATCGCTGGTTGGGGTTGATGCAGAGCATCTTCTCGAGCAGGTTGGCGGCGTCGTCCGAGACAAAATCTTCGAGTTCCCAGCCTTGAATGAGCTTCTTCAGTCCAAATCGGGACAAGAACACGTAGCTTTCGTCCATTTTCGACGGCAAGTTGACGAGAGGCACACCCGTGAGGAGTAGGAACAAGATGATCCCAAGCGACCACACATCCGCCTTGGACGGGTCGTACGGCGCCACGTTGTCAAACACTTCCGGGGCGATGTAGTACGGCTTCCCAACGCGATCGATGGGACGGCTGTTGATGTCGACGGCCAGACCAAAGTCACAAATCTTGCACGTGTCGGAGCTGTCCACGAGGACGTTTTCAAGGGAGAGGTCGCGGTGGGCAAACCCAGCGGCGTGGATGAACTTGAGACCGGTGAGGATCTGCAAAAAGTATCGTTCGGCATGCATCACGTCGAGCTGTTTGTCGGTGGCGTCCTCCATCACGTCAAACAACGCGCCGCGGTTGCAATACTCAAACACAAAGTGGTCGTATCCGTCAGCGGCAAACATGGTTTGCATCGTGAGCACGTTGGGATGTCCGCCTTCTTCATGAAGGGTCTTGTTCACGAACTGTTCAAAGCGTGTATCCTCCAGCACCAAGCGTTGGCGCTGCACGGTCTTGCGTGACGCACTCGCGCCCTGGTCGATCTTCTTGATCACAACCTGCTCGTTGGTAGCGTTGTCGTGGCAGAGCAGAATCTCTCCATACAGCGCAGGGCTCAAGACGCGCTGTGTGGTGAAGCGCTGCTGCATGTTCATTTACGCTCTGGACGGGGAATTCTCGAATGAAGTGACGAGAGATGGGTTCTAGAACTCTTTTGAAGTCGCCACTTATTGTGAAACGGCTCGCAGATGAAAATTCTGCACTGGGCTTTTTTATACTCTATGTTTGTATAACCATACAAAACATAAGGTACATGAGTGGAGGTCGCCCGGCCAGAAATTAAATAAAGATCCCGTGGATAATACAATAACGTAAATAATGCACCTGTACGAAGCCACGTCGCAGATCATACCGGTTGAGGTAGTCTGTCCATTCCACTAAGTTAGCCGACAGGGCATCGAAGGACATTGGCTGGCCGTGGCGTGGCTAGATAGCGCCAGTGGCGCGGGATGTGACTGGAGGACAGCGACAAACCCGTCTGACATGCGTACCTAAACCGTCAAGCGAGCCGGCGGATAGAACATCGCGATGGCACACGCCCGCCCCTACGTATGTTATGTAACCGAGTTGACTGACCCTCATCGCTCTCACAGGCGTCTGTCGGCGCCGTTGCACCACGCCTGAAACCGTCAGGGTGCTATTTTTATAAAAATATCATCACAGTGAAATAAAAGGCCACACTGGTCGCATACATCTGGAGGTTGGGCTGGGCTGGCTGTGAGTTGTCACAGTGGATCGCAGGGCTTTCCCACGGCTAGTCAGCATGTCAAGTCTGCCTAGCGACTTGGGACAACACCACTATCTCCCCCTGGTCGGATTGTCTGTGGCTTTCCCCGATCTATGACATGTCACGAGGCTTTGCTGAAGATAAGCAAAAACGGTGGCTGATATTCCGTTGGGGTTCTGTGGCAAAGGACGTTCATGCATTGAGGATGCACCAATTCAGACCAACAACGATGGCGCCAGCGCAAAGTGCGTGCACATGGCAGCCATCTCTCCCCACGTGGCTTTGTGGAAAGGTCGCGGACACACTGGCATCGAGCAAATGAAACTGCTGCAGCTGAATCGCAGACGCTTTTACGCTCGTCTGTCGACCTGGGGCGACAACGACTCGACGGCGAGAGATTGGGCGCGGCGATGTTACTCAAACCGTCTGAATAATGTGATGCCAACCATGACGTTACGTGGCGTCACGCCCGTCGTCGTCGATCTGTTTATGATACTTACATGTGGAACAAGAGAGGGTACCATTGTGAAATCGTCTGGCTTGGGATTACCGCGAAGGGGTACAGTACATACATGTGAGAGGCCATTAGCAACCATCGTTGAGGTGTTCGTTTCAACAAGGAGTCCATTCCAAGTTCAAAGTATAGCTTTGAGGAAATGTTCACTTGGTCGCGAGGGCTACATAGTACGACCCTGTAGTACACTCCCAGCACAAACAGAATGCCAGTAGTGCATCAAACGTTGCTGAAGTCATGTGCGTATTTATCCTCTCCCAGAGCAACTGTAACGTTACCATCTCGGAGATGGGTGTAATCGCATGGATATTTGTTTGTTATGCCTTCTCAAGTCACGTAGGAAGCACATCGGGATAATGCTTGGGTGCTACAAAACCACGCATGGACAATATTCCAATCATGGTCTTATGAAAATGTGAGCGCGACAGAGACGTTTGTCGTTGTGGCCACTTCGCCTTGTGATGTGTGCAACGTGGTGGGCGGGCCTCTCCTACAACTTGACCTGAAAACGTGCAAGAAAGAGGCGGTTTCATAGGTTGCGACGTTTCAAATTTGCAGCAACATTTTCAACCAATGAAATACGACGACTGTACTTATATAAGCAATCTTGTCGAAGGTGGTGTTGACACGTTGTGAAACAACGAGCCTCCATTCGACGATACAGTATTGGGGCCTGCCACAACCTCTACAAAAGGCAGACCCCATTAATTGACCGCTCCTACGACGACCTATCCCCTTTGCACCCATTTTGGGCTGTTTTCATTGGCTATAATTCATTTTTCTCAGATTTTGAGAGCGATACAAACTCCAAGTTTAGGTTCTTGGTCGTTGAACAGGCCTCGTCTGGGAGCGGCACGGCCTACGGCCTACCTGCCGCTTTTCCCGACGAGAGGAAAAGATAGGAAGTCCCCGTGGGGCACGATGGCGTCGCGCCACAGCGTTCGCTTTGGTGCGAGTCGCTCTACAGTCTATCTACGTTACGCTACGTATAAGTCTATCTACGCTACGCTATAGAAGTCCTGGTTAATGGGGAAAAAGTGGGCAAAAAGCTGGGGTTGAACTGGTGACCTTTCGGACCCCATGTTCAAACCGCTAGACCACGATGGCTGGTTCTATTGGACTTGCTGTTAAGCTTAGAATATACAAAAAGAATCTGAGCACAATGAATTATATCCAATGAGCAGCGACCACGCCCACTATTACAGGGTTAGGTCGTCGTAGGAACGGTCAATTAATGGGCTCTACGAAAGGCGGAAGGCAAGCTTGGAACAAGTTCTAATTACTTCGGAGTATTAATATTATTGTGCTTTGCACCCTTTTTGGCAATTCCAGGGTTAAATTCATGGCTTAAAATTTTCAAGTAACTTGACTAAGGGCTGGGTGCGTTGTTTAAAGGTACTTCATCTAATCCGATGATGGGTTGGTTGAAGGTGGTTATACTGTATAGGCACTTTCGTAAAACAAGTTGTTTGCCGTTGTCATTCTGGCAAACAACTTGTTTTACGTCTACACGTCAAGGTGCTTGCCGCAATGAAACTGAAGCAGCTGTGGCCACATACATGACCTCCCATCCGTGATCATTACAACATGAACTACTGGAGTAATTTATAACGATAGGGATACCGGGGTATAGTTAGGCTAGTCGTCGCTCTGTCCAATGATTCAAAGCTATACCACACCGACAACACTTGATCTGTACTAACGTTAGCACTCACTGTACGTGGAAAGCAAGGGCGCGCTACAACTACATGATGTATAGTACTCCCATTTCACATCCTAATGTGGTGTGCATCGTGATGAACTGGTGGTTGCACTGCGTAAGTTGGCCTGATGCTGCAACTCGATTACATAGCGGCTAAAATAAAGTAAGGGTTGTTTAATTCTGCTGAAAGACAGAACTTGGGTTTAGCGTTGTTTTAACTTCAATCGGGCTAATATTATTTTAAACGTCTGGTTGTTTACAACGTGTTAACGCAGACAACGGGCAAATTACATGAAAAACACAATACTATTAATAGTAGCTGTAAGCCCATTATTTGTTAAACCCCAGCAAATTGGGTTTCGTGTAAAGATTAGGTACTGTACAACTGTACGTATGGTAGCCGTCAAAACAGTTCGACATGAGTTCCTACTAGTTGAAAGGGGTGCCACGACTGTTTCAAAACCAAGTACAGTAAGTACTGTGTATACTACTCCGGAGTAGTAGTAATCTCCCTCGTTTAACGTTATATGGTGCAAGTCACCTAAAGACTACAAATAAATGCCTTGACTTTCGACAACTTTGTATTGATATTATTTAGGAAAATATACCGTAATAACGATAGACCCAACAGAAGTTACGATTCAGATTTTCGATTGGTGAAAATTTGATCGAGTAATAGAATTTAAACCAACCGGCCATTTTGTACGGAGATATATGGAACCAGGTACAAAGGAGAATCAACTATATCTTGGTCTTTGTATACAGCACTTATCCGTACGAACGTTTTCATTGTATCCGGATTATTCACAATGTTTAACCTAATTACCAGGTAAAAAACGTAACTAATAATGATTTAACGTCAACATTTCGTGGGTTTAACTGAAATAACCGATGCGTTTAATAGTAAAACGTCTCCTCCTGAGGATGGCCGATCTGTAGTCTTTAGATGACTTGCACCATAAGTTGGACGTTTTCTTCTTTATACAATGCTCGGAAGTTTGGAAGTACCGCGCAGTGGTACATGAGGAGAGTCTACTGCCCAGCTAGAATGGCAGTGCAAATGTCGAGGTGCATGCAATTGAGTTGCTTAACACTGTAAACGTCACCGTTCGCTTAGGAATGTTGACGTTGAAGTTTACGGTGAGCGTAATCGTAACGGATACACGCCATCAAGTTTTGTAATCATTAGTGGGGCTTCCCAGACAAAATGGTGTTGCTTGTAATCAACGCACCTTGCAACTCCACACTGGCCCACAATTCAATCCCTCGTGTACATGCCACTGCCAGTTCTCCACCACCCGCATCCGTATGCCCACGTGCAACACCTCGTGGACCTCCCCGAGTCTCGCTACACCCCCCCGGCGCCCCCTGGGTTTGACGAAGACTTGGAAACATTCCAACGGCCATCGTCCGTCGAATATGGGCGCCAGCTCAAAGCCATGCTGTTTACCCTCGATCCGTCCATCATCCCCCTCAATCACGGTAGTTTTGGGGCGTGCCCAAAGCCCGTTCGCGCTGTGCGGGAAGCATACATGAACCTGCAAGAATTTGAACCTGTCAAGTACATGGATGAACTTGCCCCTCGCCTTGCTCGAGTGGCCCGTGTAGTTGCCGCGTACGTCCATGCCCAACCCAACCAGATTATGCTCGTACCCAACGCTTCCTCGGGCACAACCTGTGTGTTGAGGTCGTTTCCTTTCCCCCTCGGGAGTACCATTCTGTCGTTCAACCTTGGCTACCCTGCCGTCACCCAGCAAATGAAACAAGCTTGCGGGGGACTCAAACAGCATGTGATTCAAGTCGCCCCACCATTTACAGCGGCCAAAGTCGTCCATGCGTTTCTTCAAGCCCTGGAAACCTTTGTCAACGATGTCATTGGCCTCGTGGTGGTGGACCACATTACAAGCGAGAGTGGATTAGTTCTGCCCATTCAAGTTTGTGCAGCATGTACACAAATGTATGTATTCCTCACATCTTCACTGCGTAGGACATTGTTGGGCTGTGCAAAGCCCGTGACATCCCCGTGCTTGTGGATGGCGCCCACGCAATCGGTCAAATTCCGCTCAATTTGGGCGAACTACAACCCGACTTTTACGTGTCCAACTTTCACAAGTGGATGCTGGCCCCCAAGTCGGCTGCCTTTTTGTACATTCGCGAGCCTGAAAAGTACACTGTCCACCCCACGGTGATCAGCCATGGGCACACCAAAGGCACAAGCGCTGCGTTTGGTTTTGTTGGTACCATGAACATATTCAAAGCTTGGTTAACGTGATGTATTTGCTAGGCACGATGGACTACTCTGCGTATTTGTCGATTCCAGCAAGCATTGCCTTTCACACGAAGATGGGTGGCGCTGATTTGATGGCTCGCAACCACTCGTTGTGCGTGGCGTCTGCCCTTCGATTGGCCAAAGCTTGGGACACGTCGCTCTTGACGGAGGAAGTGGACTCGATGATTGGGAGCATTTGTGTGGTGATGTTGCCGCTAGCCTTGTTTCATGACCAAACCGACATGGCCAACGAATTGGAAACGCTCCATCTTGTGCTTCGACAGCACTATCGCATTGAAGTCAAGACAGCACTCGTGGACAGCGTGGTGGGCGTGCGCATCAGCAGCCAAATGTACAACGACCAAGCCGACTACAATCAATTGGAAGTTGCCGTACTGGACATTTTGACACGAGATGCCACCGACTTGGCGTTGTAGAATGCAACCTCGACTTACCATAATGTGGAGTTCAAAGGATTTGAGCCGCGTTGCTTTCAAATTTGACATTATTGCTGTTAATTCTACGATTACAAAAATTTAGTGAGATTAACAGCCGCTAATTTTGCAACTTGAAGTGCCATACGAAATGTCATTTGGTCAGTCTATTGTCGCGAAGTACACTTACCGAAGTGAAAGCAATCGAATCTGCAATCGCATGAATCACATGCTTCAAATGTCACTGTGACGTGAAGTTGACATTTTCAACTAAAAAAGTGCCCAAGACTGTCAAATAAATGTGCGACGTAAACGTATTGTTACAGAGTAGATGCCATATTGATTCACCAATTCCAAATCGTACTTTACAAACCAGCGAAGCCAAACCCTCACATGAGTTCGTTCACGACCAAGCCGCATATTGACATCAAACTACCGTCACGACGTCTTTCCTCTGGAATACGAGCAGCTCACAGGTCACAATCGCCAGCTTCGAAACCACGAGCCAGCAACACCCGAGTTTGCGCCAAATCCATGGCCAAAACTACATGTAACGTGTCACCACCATCGCAACATGAAATTCGAAGTAACGTTAGATGTTGGGGAAAGCTCGAGTCTTACTACTTGAAATTTTAAGTACTTGTGGGGGAAAGCTTGAGTCTTACCGCGAATGCAGCGGGTTAATACATATACTTCGAAGAATATGTTGTGTCAGTCCTTGTTAAAAACTTAATGACATCGCATCGGTACTGTAACCACTTCCGGAGAGTGGACATTTCACACCCTTGATGGAAAGCTCACATGTGTGAAATGTCCACTATCCGGATATACGATCAACGATCATCCGGATACATTGCAATTCAAATTCCCAAAGCGCAATGCTAAGGCACCTGCTCGTCCAAGAAGGTGTAGACGAGCGACGCATCAAGAAACTAGAGGCCAAGGGGATACGCAACCTGAAGAAGATGTTCCAGAAGTCCGAGTGGGAGTTGGCTCACATCATGGATCTGTCGGTAGATGATCTCCAGGTACGTACGTCCACCTAGCTTATCCGTTGATGCCAGCACTCACACATCACAGGGATTGTTGCTTCGCATTGCCGCAAAAGACAGTCCAAAACCTTCGTCGGTATGCAATATAATGAAGCGTGAATGGTGCCAGCTGACGATCTTCTTTGCAGGTCATGGACATGTTTATCAAGAGCGTCAGTTTCCCATCGTCCCTTCGGACGACCCTGCCCGAGCTCGACAATGCTCTCTGTGGTGGCATCCCCACCGCGACAATCACAGAGGCATGGTACACACCCATGCAATTGCCTCGATGAATTGGGGTGTAGATTGCTGGGGCCGCTGGGATTGGCAAGAGTCAGTTGTGTATGCAGCTGGCCGTGCTGTGCGCCTTGGAATACCACGATGGGACAGTGTTGTACTTTGACAGCGGCGGCAACTTCAGTGCCAAGAGGTACCCATCTCCATCCTTCCATGATGCCATCATTGCTTAGGTTCATGCAGCTTGCCACCGAACGAATCTCACCGCAACAGTACTCAACGGACGTCCTGCGCAAGTCCAAGGTAGAAGCCATCGCCCGACAAGTCCAAGTCGTGGCGGTGGAGAACCTCGATCGCCTTGAAACAAAGTACCGTTCACAGATCTGTGACACGGTATTAACATTCTGTAGAGTGCGGGAATTGACAGAAAGCATGCCACTTATAAAGATGATAATCATCGACTCCTTAGCCACGTTGGCCAAACATGTACGACCCCAGTCTACGATGAATGCACATATATTCGACTATATTGACTTTGGTCGAGTAGAGCTCGACAGACATGTCTGTGGCTACCCGCCAAATGCTGCTGATGCGTGTGGCCAGTGTTCTCAAGTATGGTAACAACCCATATCATATTAAATCAATCAAATACAGCATCTCCCCCTATCCCACACTCCCACACTGGGTAGGCTCTTGGCCTCAACGTACGACGCGTACGTCATAACAACCAACCACACGACGACCCGAAAAGACCAAAGTACGACGCTAGCACACAAGCTGGCTGGCTGGCTGGCAGGCAAGCGGGGGTGTTGACCCCACTGACTTTGCTGTGTGTGTATGTAGTGGGGCTATACTCACAGCCAGCGTTGGGGCTCGCGTGGTCGCATTGCATCACAAACCGAGTACATATCTATAGAACAAGCGATATCAACTTAAGTGGGTTGTTGTTACTGCTGTTGCAGGTCGTCCTCGAGAAGACAAGTCCGAGTACGAAGGCAATGACGGTGCACAAAGCAGCGGTGGCCGGACCTGCGTGCATCCCGTACATCCTCACAGTGAGTTGTTCCATTGACCTACCTAGTTGAAGTTTCATAACAAAGTGATGGCTGTAGAAAGCCGGGGTGCTACCGCCAGAGGGGGCGGTGGGGGTCCCGTGCGTGGACGACGACGAGTTCCCTTGGGATGCAGCGATGATGCTGGGCGATTTCGATGATGCTCAAGACGATGGTTTTCGTCTGCATCCGGTCCAACATGCTTCGCAACGAGACAGTCAAAGTGGTGGCATCCCACCCGACGACATTGCCAGTCAAGAAGAAATGGTGGCAGCCACCCCTTCCGACGACGAGCAAGTCGACACCAAAGTTGAACATCTTGCAACGGAGTTGGGCCAACTAGAAGACAGTCGACAAGCAGCGAGGGACATGGCGTTGAGTATCGTGGACGACATCGTCCCTGCATCAGACGACGAAGAAGAAGAATGAATTATGGGCTCAAATATATAATATATATATAGTTAGTCCTATCGCAAAACCATTAATATGAATCGTTGCCGTTAAAGGCAAACTCGTGGGCAATGTCGTGGAAGCTGTCCACAGCGCTGAAAAAGAGCTCGTACAGTGTCCCACCCTCCAGCCAATCATCGTCTGCCTTGTCTATGCTGACGACGACGACGTGGCGAACTGGCTTCGTACGAATCTTTCGATGGTCCACGCGGCGTTTGTTGGTTTGGCTCGCAGTGCGAAGTGATGGGGTTCTGTCCTCGGCAGACTCCACGGTTATGGCTGGGGGTCGGTGGCGGACCAAGGGGCCACGATGTTTGGTCAGTTGTACTTCGCCATCGCTGGCGTTGTTCGAGTCGTCGAAGGCGGGGGCGAGCCGGGTGTAATCAATGGTGTATGTTGACATTTGCTCTTCCTGTTGGAGGGCCAACGCCATGGCGTAGTCGGATCTTGTGTCAGGAGCGTCCGTCGGATAACGTGGGGCTGATGCAGCGTTCGACCACAATGCAGCGCCGACGGCGGCGGATGTCAACTTGTCGTTGTTGGCTTGAACCGCGGTTTCGTCCATGATGTCACGCAAGGATGCAAATGGAGCAGCTGGCGTGATGGTCCAAGGACTCGAGTGCAGGACGGTTGTCATGATGTAGAGCAAGTGGAGTTGTGACCAAAGCAACCAAGAAAGGGGGGTAGACTCCGTATGAATGATGGTCTGAGTGTTGGTCTTCCCATATGACAAACCTGCATTCTGGTTCCAGTCGAACGAACGACGAATGTTCTGGCGTGGGAAGTACGAACGAGCCCTGCATTCTCGAGTTCGTGATACTAGTATCAACATTGTTCATTCGCCTTTCTCTTCGCACCATGGCCTCGTCTGTGCTCCTACCGTCAATCTCCTCGTCACCGTGGGGACAAGTGCCAGCATCGGCTCCTCAACGCGTGAACTTGCGCACAGTCATGGACGAAGCCCTGGCGCTACGAATTGAACACGAAGACATGTTGGCGATCGTGGACCCAACTCCATACCTGGTACATGATCAACAAGTGCCGAGCGGTGAACTAGCTGTTGACGTCAGCTCCGACTTTGCAGTGGCGTTGGCATTGCAGCTGGAAGAGCAGGCAGCAGCTTCGCACACTGTCGAGTACTCTGTTATGCCCGCAGCTGAACTTCCACAAAACAGCCCCGTCATCGACGATTCATCTCCCATCCATTCCCACGAAGTGAATACCTACGAAGGTAGCGCCGACGAGATCCAGGACGAGCTCATGCACAACGCTCGCCATCGTCACAAGGGTCAAGCCAAGGCCTATCGAAAGATCAGTACGAAACCAGTTCGCCCCGTCCACGTCGTCGTCGTCAGCCAAAACAAGACGGACGATGATTGGCTCGAGGGTGGGGGACTGTACGAGCTCTTTTTCAGCGCTGTGGACAGTTTCCACGACATTGCCCACGAGTTTGCCTTTAATGACAACGATTCATTCTAAAGACATTGCGATAGGACTAGCTATTAATATATTTTGTGCTTTCCAGTGAAATTTCGTGTTGTGTGACGTGGTTTCTCGTTGGAATTTAAATCGATTTGATTGGCTACCTCAGATGAACTCAAAATTATTAGCCAATCAAAACCTTCGCAATGAAATTCAACCAATCAGATCGATTGTGGATCGGTTTGGTTGGCGCGATTCGATTGCACCCCCTCCCCAAATTTGTATCAAATCGACAATATATGAGCCCTTAATCATTACTAGTACTATGTATTTGCAATGAACCTATCAAGTAGCATGCTTCCTTCGTAACCCAGACCTGCCACTCAATGCACAAAAGAGTAATCAAAATGCCACCAGTTCCCGACATCAAACTGGATCTTACACTAATTAATGTAACATTGACGATTGTCGATTAGACGTATGTGGCCGTTCGAAATATCACTTTCGACAAAGGTAGGGCAATCCTAGCAAGTAGTAGTACAAGTACTTGGTAGCATTAAAATACAGTCATCTAAATCATCAAAGCCTCGTCTGAAATGAGCTCTTCGGCCTCTTCGTCGTCGCTGCCAGTCGGCGCGGGGGCCAACACCTTGGCAGGCGGGGCCACATCCTCCGCCAGAACGTCCGACAGATCGGCGCTGACCAAGTCAAACACTTGGCGAAACGCAAACAAATCGCCGGCCCGTCGGCGCACTTCCACGAGGAACAATCCCCCCGGCGCTTCCGTGACAAGCAACGCCACGTCTACGCGGCCCGAGGCGGCGGTGGTCACGTGCACTTTGGCTTTGACGTCATTTCCTGGGACATGCGAGGCGAGAGCGTCCGTCCACGTATACCGCAGCCCGACCTTGTCAAAGGACGCGTGGAGGCGCTGCAGCAGGTCCGCGGCGGTCGACGCAAAGCATCGGAGGGTCGTGTAGGCGGGGATGCCGCAGGATTGGACAGCGGGGAAGAACATGGCGTCGTGGGATGTCGTGGTCTTGAGTGAAGTCGAAGCCAACGTGTGGATGGAGCGATGGGTATTGCGGTCAAACGGGTTGAACGAGGTGGTGGCCGCCGCCGTCTTGTCTTCCTTGGCTTTTTGCGCGCGCAGCTTTTCCAGCGTGACTTTTTCTTTGCGCGCCAAGAGCTCGTTGGTCATCGCGGTCTCGGACAAAACGGGCTCATGCAGCCACGGATGCTGCCAGATCTCGGCCAACGTCAGGCGCGTCGTCGGGTTCACGTCGAAGATGCGTGTGAGCAGATCTGTTGCCATGGGGGAGAAGACCGCCGTGCGGGAATGTGCGGCCCAGAACGCCTCGTATTGCTGCGTCGCGCACGCGCGGAACCACCAGTCTTGGCGCGTGGCGATTTGGAACGGAGGAAACCCCGCGAGCAAGATGAACAGCACGACGCCGGCGCTCCAGATGTCCGCGGGGGCGCCTTCGTACGGCGTGCCGGCGATGATCTCCGGACTCATGTATGCACGGGTGCCGCACTGCGTGGTCAAGTCATCCGCCAATGTCGTGTCGTCCGACAGCGCCGACAGCCCAAAGTCGGCGATCCGGAGCAAGAAGTTCTTGTCGAGCAACAAGTTTTCGGGTTTGATGTCGCGATGGTACACGCCCGCCGAGTGACACGCGTGGAGGCCGCTCACCATCTGCCGAAAGTACGTGCGCGCGATCTCTTCCGAGAAGCTTCCCGTGTACATCATGAAGTCGAAAAGTTCGCCACCCGTTGCGAGTTCCAGCACGACCAGCACAACTTTTTCGGAGCCTCCCTTCTTCTTGGGATAGTCCACGTCGTTGGACACGGCAAGGAGGCGCATCACGTTCGGGTGCTGCACGCGCTTCATGGACTCGATCTCGCGGTACAGGTTCAGGATGGCTTTCTGCGTGAGTTTTGCAGACTTGATCAGCTTCAGCGCGACGTTCTCGTTGGTCTTGAGGTCGACCCCAAGCTTCACCTTGCCCTGAAGGCCGCTGCCGAGGGTCTGCTTGACGGCGTACTGGTCATTCAACACACGCATGTTAGTTTGGAAAATGACTTGATACATGGTGGCGTGAGAACCTACATTCCTGGAGAGTGATGTGCTGAAATAATAATGCGATTGTGTTAAGTCGCGGATTATGTGACAAGAATGACAAAACCGGAAGGTGCCAACGACAGTCCTGTATATGTATTGGCTACGAACTCGAGTTTTGTCAAACGACCATCATTCTCTGTGTCATTTGATTGGGTAGAGCTGCTGAATCGTCCAAGTAAGGAACAAGGTCATGGCTGGAAAGTTCATCGATGCGTACGTGGAGGGAGTGTGGAATGTGTACGATGGCGACTTGAGCGGGTACTTGGACAAGAAGGAAGCAAAGGTGTTCGTTCTGGGTCTTCTGGATGAACTTGTCAACGAAGGGGTCGACGTGCCGGCCGGCATTGACTTTGATACGGCGTTTGCTTCGTACGATCAGGACGGCAACGGCCGCTTGTCCCGGAAAGAAGCCCGCGTGTTCGTGGAGCATCTGATGGAAGCTCGAGACCATGCGCAAGCACAATCTGCCGTGGCGGCATCTGAGACCAAGGCCTTCCTCGACCAGTACATGGCCGAGATTTGGACGTCTTACGACGACGATGCCAGCGGGTTCCTCGAGCGCCACGAAGCTCGGGCCTTCGTGGACAAGCTGATCGCAGACATGGCCGCGTCAGACCTAGACGTGCACGGCTTCGACTTTGACGCGTGCTTTGATGCGTACGATCAAGATGGCAATGGCCGCTTGAGTCGCACCGAACTCCGTGTGTTCGTCGAACAACTCCTGGTATGATCGCGGCAGGTGTCATCTACAATATATATAGCATCTCCATTGGCACGACTACAAGTTTCTGGTAGCTTCTTATATTCGTACTACAACCTTTGAGCACTTCCATGGCAACGCTGTAGTTTGAAGCCAACCTGGTGAGACTGACACACCAAGTCTATCGACACCCAAAAATGGACTTGCAAGTCATGCCACCATATAGCATTTGATCTCATTTAAGCTTGTGCAAACTATACTATAAAGCGATTAGTAGATACATGATTTCGAGGGACTGGGCCGTTGGATTTGAAGTACAAATCTAAGCTACCCTGACTAGCCATCCTTGTCTGGATTACAGTACTTCCAAGAACATAACCCATCGAGGCGGCATATGATGCAGCTACCGTCGTCGCAGCAACACCGCCGTGGTCACCGCTGCTGTGGTAGCAGCCACCACGAACATCATTCCAATCGTGAGCAAGGTGCCTTTGCCACCAATAGTGCCTTCTTCGTCGTCTTCGTCGTCGTATCCGCCGGCAACCACCACCCGCTTCCTCCTGCGACGACTGGTCCGTCGGGGCTGGGGCGATGCCCCGCCTCCCCCTCTCGTCACCTGACTGTACTGTGTCTTGGTACGCACGGCCATGGATCCTTCCATTTCCTTTTCGATGATGCGGTAGAGCATGGACAGCACCATTTCGCCATTGTGCTTGATCATCGGCACCTTTTTCCACTCGACGTCGAACGCAGACATGTCGGTGAACGCGCGGCCTTGCACGAGGATCGGTCGCTCGGCTGCTTCCATGTCCCGTGTCGGCAGCAGCAGCGTCTCGCCGTGTTCAAATGGCAGCGTGGACGGAATCGCATTGTTGGCAATCACATAGTCCACCACGTCGTCGCCCAAGTACTCGGCCAAGATCGACAGGGTCTGGGGCAGCGTGTACCCGTCCGACTGGCCCGTCTGCGTCGCCACGTTGCTAATATACACGACGGCGCCACGAGCCTTTGCGATGGCTTCTTTGATGCCTAGCCACATTCGTCAATTCAAACTCTTGTTGTAATCGTTGTTGCTTGCCTGGCACGAGCAACGTGGCGATGATCGACGTGTAAAACCCTCCCGGACTGATGAGAATGATGTCGGCCGCTTCGATCGCGGCAATCGCGGCGGGGTACGCAGTGACGGACGCGTTCTCTAAAAACACATGGCGGATCGGCGCTGCCTTGTCTGGGCTCCGCACGTTCACTTCGGATACGACCGTGGAGCCGTCAGCGAGGACCGCACAGAGCTCCGACTGGTCCAGCGTTGCAGGCAGCACTTGGCCACGGATGTTGAGGATGTCCGAGATGGACGCAACGGCTTGGTCAAAGCTGCCGCCGTGGATGTCGGTGAGCGCGGCAAGGAGGAGGTTGCCGAGGCTCGCGCCTTCGAGGTAGTGGTCCTGGAACCGGTAATTCATCAACTGATGCAGCAATTGATCTAACACATAATCATCATCATCATGTAATTGATTGTTGTACAAGATAAAACGAAGCCAACCGGAATCGGACAGCGCGACGAGGCAGTTGCGAATGTCTCCGGGGGGTAATATTCCCAGCGTTTTCCGCAGCGCCCCGGAATGTCGCCCCGAGTCAAACACTAGGCATCGATGTGTTCGGTCCATCAACAATTATACATGTAGAAAAATAGCATCTTTTACCAGTGACAATGGCAGTCAAGTCGGCCGGATACTCACGCAACGCCTTGAGCAGCACTGCGAGACCCGTGCCGCCGCCGAGTGCGACAATATGCGGACGCGGGCGCCGGCCTTCAGCCAGCACGAGTATGGCAGGCAGTTGGTCCAAGTTGGACATCTACACCAATCGTGAAGATGCATGCATCTATGTACATTCACCTGGTAATGGGGTTGTTCCAGGTCGTCCACGGGCATGGTCTTGGCATACTTTCCGTACATCTAACGGACATTCTCGTTATAAACTCTCGCGGAGGATTGGTTTCAAACGGCAAACCATGCGAACGGTGATGAGCCCCATTTGTTTGGCAGCTTTGAGCTCCCCAAACACGCGTTTGCCGACCAACACGACCTTGGACGTTGGCACGGCGAGCTGCTTGGCCATGTTCTTGAGCACCTAGGGTTGGTTGTCAAGGGGGGGTCATCATGGAGGGGCCACTTGCCGGCATCACTTTGGACAAGTTGCCATCGCCCGAGAGGTTTCCAGCCGGGACGATGAGCACATGGTCGAAACACCATGCCACGCCCAACGTGTGGATCTTTTCCCACTGTGATTCTGGAGTCCCCGAGCAAAGGAGGCCCAACTTGTACCTACAACAAGTGGAGTGAGTTCTCTCTTTTTACAAGGGGCATCAAACGTCGTGTAAATGCATATATATATCGCAAAGATATGTGGCAGGTTAGTAGTAGTACTAGTACCCTTGATCTTTGAGGGCTTCAAGAGTCGGAATGGTGCTTGGAAACGGCTGAATATGGGGCGCTGTGCCCAGCACGAACGCGCTCGCGTTGTACTCTGTGAGCACGCGCTGCGCAGCGTCTGATGTAAGTCCCCCGCCAGATACCAAGTCGTCCACGAACAGCGCAAAATTCTTGCGATAACCAAACGCGTGTCTAAAGCGTCGAAGTGACTCGTGTGCTTGATCCAACGACTCGAATGTCCCTTCCTACACGAGTGTCTTGTAAATGTATGGTTGGATGATAGTGATAGGGGGAAGTACCTCGACAAGCTGTCCAAACGCCCGTTCTACGGCAAGGCCGCTGAGGGTGCCTGTATGGTCGTACAGGACATCATCTAGCGTAAATACGATGGCTTCCACGTTCTTGGAGCGGCCTTTGAGCTTGTGCTTTGGCATGTTGATGCGAAAATGGGAATTTATCCGGATAATGCTGAACCGGATAAAGAGTACATAATAAGTGCTCAAATTATTTAGAAGATGAGTGCTTTAAATTCGGCCCTTTGGTCGATGGATTTGGCAGACGGTCCTGCAAAATCACTAGCCGCTGGCTGTGGATCAATGTTGTATTGGCCCAATGAATTCGCCGTCTTGGTTTCGAATTGCCCGATTACAACTGCATTGAAGTACTACGTTGCTCATAGGTTGAATTAGTTAACATTTCACACATTTCACGATATTATGAGCGGTCACATAATTTGCGTCCACCAAGTGGCTTGATGGGCTTGATGTGGCTCAACGTTCTGTGCGTGACCGTACTTTCGCAAGCCTATGGACACTTCCTTCCACGATATGACACCATTCGTCCTCAATGCTCGAGTATATACAACCAGGAAGTGCTGGCCCAATCTCCACTGATAGTATACCTCCATGAACCCATCCTATCGTACGGCAATTATGCGATGATCTTCTCATGACCACACGTGGCGTAGACAACCAGAGATCGCCAGCTTCCTGGATACACATCGTCCCCAAGTAGACGCAAGCGCATCTACGTATTCCGCCTCCATGTACCTCGACTGGAAGAGCAACGCCGCAGTCCAAACCATCGTCTTCCAGCATGTGTTGCCACGAGTCGAGCATTTCTTTCCCAACAACATCATACAGATCGAGAGCACAGCGTTGACGCGATACGCCAAGGGCCAATCGTACTCTTGGCACGTCGATGCATACGACGAGCACACGCTTCATGCTCGCGCCATCACGTTCCTCCTGTACCTCAACGACGTTGACGTCGGCGGGGAAACAGTCTTTGCACATGTGGCTCAAAATGGCAGCACTGTCCAGGCCAAGGAATCCTTGGGGCGCGCGTGTGCTGCCACGTCATCACACGTAAAGGTCACGCCGCGGGCAGGAAAGTCGCTGGTGTTTCAAAACGTACCCGGACGCATGTCCACGCACGGCTCGTGCGTCGTCGGGTCAGAGGCCAAATGGATCATGCAGTTCTGGATATCCGCCACACCTACCAGTACTTTTTAGCATGGGTAGCTAGCTAATATTACTTCGAAGTAGTAATACATATGTTGGTTAGAAAAAGATTTTGTTGAAACCGTCTCCAAGTGCAGTTGGCGTTTCAGCCGTTTCATGCAACTGGTGTCAAGCACTTTACGATGGACAACGATGCGATCAAGTTCATCGACGTCCCCAAAGCTGTGACACGAACTCCCGTGCGCAAGAAAGGCGCGCCAAAGATATTGCAACGCAAGTCCATCCACTTGGGCTGGGAAGACGACGACGTAGGCCAAGATGGTCCTCGGGGAGACAGCACCGTCAACAAGGAAATGTTCGTGCTCGAATTCTACAACCCCCAGCTGCAGTCGCCGCACGGCCGACGGCCAACCACGACGGTACAAGTCGCCCATCTCATCGACTCCGTCCTATTCAGTTCCTGATCACGATTAGCATGCGATGACTCGGGCGAACTACGTGCTGGATCGAGTCGACAGCATGCGCCAAAGCCGCAGTGTCCTCACGTTTGTCGATCCGCTGGAAGACGCGACTCGACGGGACCTGAAGCGGTCCAACTTGCTACATCCTGTGGCGGTGCCACTGGTCATGTCGGACGCCGCTACGCCGCTTCATGTCGGCGCGGCGGCGAAGCACCAGCAGCAACCCCAACGATGCCCCCAGTGCAATTCCAACCACGTCATCATGGTGCCGGTGTGCAAATACTGCAAAACGCTAGATGTTCTCACCCAGGATCACACCGCCTTGAAACGACACGCGTATGCGTTGGTGGAAAAGCACCCGTCGATTGCCCCCACTCAAGTACCACGCCTCCAACTGTCGAAGTTGTTCACTGTCGCATGTGTGTCTGGGTAGTTGATCGATGAGGTGGTGTCCTTCTTACACGAGTACCACCAGCACCGAGCACCGCCTGAGAAACCACAGGCAACCATCGACCCTTCATCGAGACCCACGACCAGGTACAAATCATCTTTGCAAAGTTGCACGCGTTTGCTTATGATAGTACGTGTGTCGACCACCTTAACAAATGTGTAGCCCCTCGAACCCCCCCATTGCTACTACTATGGCCGTAGCGGTAGCTCCGCCCATAATCTCAACGGATGAAGTGAATCGATTAATGCACACGCTGCAGCACAACCAAGTGCCGTCGACGCGGGAAGCCTTGCTCGAGCTCAAGCACGCACGGTCCAAAGCTGCGGCCGAAGTCAAGCCCCCCCAGTTGAGCCAAACTACCAAGCAAACGATCGTGCACTACATTTTGCATTCGTTTTCCCAGCCCCACGGCGAACCGCCAGATTGGACAAAGGAGCAGCGGTGGGACCACCAGGACTTGTGCCTGGAAATGCTCAAAACACTCTCCATGCACGACGTCGACGACATCGTCCGAGCGTACAACGCGTGGAAGAACGTGAACGACATTACGCTGCGCCAAGACTACGATGCCACGTCCCAAACTCGCCCTTTGATGTTGGACCAATGCGACCAACGCTCGTCCACCCAAGTACACACTTGGCCTGGGTTTGAAGTGTATTTTGTTCTGATACCCCCGTGCTAGAAACTCAAAGATGCCGAAGTGGACGAAGCCGACCAAGTGGTGCCCGACGTCCGCACATTTCAACTGCAGCGGCGCAAAGCCATCCGCACGGCTATCCCCCCCGAGAAGGCGCGTCAGCTGATCGCCCGCCGTGCCACCGTCCGTCCAAAGCCCACGGGTACCCCCGCCGCCGCGACGATCCCCCCGCTCCTTCAACATCGCCATGCCACTCCCATGATGGCGGCCGAGTCGACAGACCATAAGGTGTTTGTCCATTGATATGCGTGGATTTCACACGCATAACATATAAAGGAGGACGAGAGCGAGGGTCTATCGTTGCTACACGAACGGCACAAAGCTGAAGCCGACGAAAAAGCCAAGCAAATCTTGCTCAACGCCGAGCGACACAAGACGATAAGTTCCGACGGCATGTTTTCCTTGGACAACACTTCGTTTCTCGCGGCGTCGCTTGCCCAACAAGACCTCGTCGTGGTGCTGCAGTTCGGTACGTGGATTGAACCCCAATTGGTGTATTCTGTTACAGCTAAACTGGACACTATATTGTTGTTAGATCGCCAAGCGCAAGAAATGTTCTTGCTTGGCGACGAAGCGGACAGAGAAGCCCTGCTGCAGCTGTCCCCCCTGGGGCGGGTGGAAGTGGTGGGGGAGTGGATCGCAAAGAGTGTCGACAACCGCAACATTCTGGTGGCCGCTACGCGGGCCAAGGGCCATCTACTGACCTCCGACGAGCGCCGGCTGCTGCTGGCTATGGAAGAAGAAGATTGCCGGTACCATTTGCACATGTGGAAGCATTGGCAGCAACAAGACACCAGCCATGTACCAACCCCCAACTTAGCGTTTTTGCAGCTCAATGGCACAGGCCGGCGGCGGCCGCGGGAAGAGTACTTTCGAGTGCCTCGGTACTGGTCCAAGTACATTAAAGTACGGGATACAACCATCCAACCGATGCCGCTGACTGTAATCCGACCGTTTCTCTGGGGGTTGTATCATGCAGCTGCCAAGCAGCGTATTGGTACGTAATTTCAAACTGCCCCCTTGGATATGTTACTGGCGATGCCGGCGTAATCACTGAAAGTATGACTGCCCGGCAGACGCGTACGACTTTGTCGAGTTTGTGGTGCAGCACATGACGCTCCAGTTTGGCGCCCATACAAGGCACCGACTCCAAGGACTGATCACCGCCCTCGAACAATACTGTATCAAGGACACGTGGGTGTTTGCCTTTTGTCGGTTTTGCGGGGTTCGTACAACTTGTATCGACACCCCCTCCTTTTGTCATATTCATATGGCGGCCTTGGGGTTAGATTGCCGAACAATTGCCGTCGGATTGCTTTACCTTTTACGTGTCGGCATTGCAATGCTTGCAGTTTGCAGTGCCGAATCGAGCGCAACAAGCCGACTACTACATCCCTAGCGATGTGTTTTACCCGCTGTTTGTGAAAAAAGCCGTCATGGCGTTACGTACGATCGCAAGCGACGCCAACATCGACGAAGCCAAATGGTACGCCACGCTGCGCGAGTGTCGAGTGCTGTGTCCGCGCAAGACGGTGCTCGGCAGCCCCATCTACGTCGTCGGTGGGCTAGCATCCCTTCCAACGAATATGCAACCTAACACGTCGGGCAGGGCTCGGGGCGTTCATGGATTTGGTGTTGGACATTTGGCTGTCGAATCGACGGATGATGGAAGATGAGATGCGCCGGATGTTTGTCCAGTTTGACACGGATCAAAGCAAGAGCTTGAGCTACGACGAGTTCCGGGCATTCATTGTGCACTGCCACAAGACGCTGCAGGAATCGGCATCCACCAGCCAGTCATTTTGTCAGCGCGTTGTGGACGAGAAGAACGTCGTCAAGCTGTACGGCAAGTGCCTGATGCAGTCTGACCAGAGCGAGATCAACATCGACTCGTTCGTGCTGGGCGGCATGGAAAGTATGTGCCTGTCTACCCGTTGCTCGACCTAGAAATACTCATGTGTTTGATAGATCCGCTGACCCTGGCCATGTTTGGCTTTGCGGTGCCACCGACCCAAACGACCGCGGCCAGTATCATGGCCATGCAGTTGATTATGCGCGCCATGCGGGCCTATATAAAACGCTTGCGGTCGGTCACTCCAGTCCCCCGATCGCCAAATTCCTAACAACAATATTTCTATATATTGCAT